TCTGGGAGAGCCCAGAACCAAAAAAACACTAACGTGCAAAGCTAGCTTGCAGGCTTGCAGCCGATGCGCCTGGTTTAGGGGTTTAGGGGTTTAGGGGTTTAGGAGTTTAGGGTTTAGGGGTTTCGGGGATTAGGGGTTTAGGGTTTAGGGGTTTAGGGGTTTTGGGCTTTAGGGGTTTAGGGGTTTAGGGTTTTGGATTTAGAGTAGATCTATCACCTGAAAAGCCACAGCTGCTGAATCACAACACTATCCGAACCTACACTTTCACCGCTAGACCCCATAATATAAATCCTGGACCCCAAACTTGCTACCCTCTCACTCACCTGGAACTCCAGGGTTTAGGGTTTAGGGATAGAATCTCAAAAAAAGGCCCCAGTGAAGATTACACTCTCTTCAAAGCAAGGGCTATGATATGGGGTTCAACGGTAGTTTGGCAGATGATACGTTCTTCCCAAAGGCCTCTTCACCCCTCTTCGCTTCTTGCCCTTCTCGTAGGCCGCTTCAAGCGCAGGGTGTACTGCCAGCGGCGCCTCCGCTGGGGGGGACACTCTTAACTACTAGAATCACACGTAAAATCAAGAGAGTGGAAAAAGGGACGGAAAATGGGCTGGAAATTCAGCTAGAGTTTAGGAATTGGGGCTAAGGCTTGACATCTTAAAGTTCCAGAATTCTTGATTGGGCGCTGGAAACAAAGGCTCTGAGTTCACCCTGAACCCGAACTATACCCCTCAACTCTACGCCCCTCCCTGAACCTCTGAAACCCTAAACCCTAACTCTAAACAGCAAAAATCATAGTTTCCATGTTCTTTTCGACTATCCCTATATACATCCTATATAATCCCCTATATCACCCCTATAGAATCCCCTACATAAATCCATTCTCCCTGTGTTTGGCTTTAGGAATGACGGCGGGGATGGTTTGGTTGTGCGTCTGCAGCGCCCACCCTTCAAAGAAGCTTCCCAACTACACCCTCAACCCTAAACACCAAAGCACATCTGAAAGACCAACTTCAGGAGCCCTGAAGACCTGTTCCATAGTCGCAGGACATTGTACAGTTTTGCTGCACAGAATGCTCTACAAATGTCCCGTGCTCAGAAACCCTAGACATTGGACCTTCCGCCCCATCAACTTAATGCATCTCAGGGTGCCCCTGCCAACAAACTGCTGTGCTAAAATTCCACAATCAGAATTGAGCGTCAGAATTGAGCGTGCAAGACCCAATGTTAGGGACTTCAGTTTAGGATGTCTGTGTCGTGTTCAGCTTGAGGGGTGCCTAGCTAGTATCTAGCACGGACTCTCCAAGAGCTGCCGACTTTGCCAAGAATACCGCATTCCAGCACTGTTGACCCCTGAGAAACCGAAGGCCGTTCATGCGCAGGCAACCCTAAACGTAGAATCAAGATGTGGCCGCATTTGAGTGTTTCCGTTAGGAACTACAACTGAAAGTCTACGCCTAATACTACTCCTAATGAAGGAGACTATGCAAGCTACTGACCTGCATTACGCAAAACCTTCCCGTTCTGTTGAGGAAATGCAAACCACTATGTAAGCAATACCTAATAACGAATACCCCTCATGCAGCATGATATCAATACCACTGTAGAGGTGTAAATATTCATATATGAGCCATAGTCTGAACTTCTAGCATCCCCCTTAATAACCCCTGTAGCAGGCTCCTGTATACTCTGTATATTTCCCCCTTTAAGGAGTCTAGGCCCTAAACCCTAAGCCCTTTATGATCCCCTATGTAATCACCTTCAAGGCGTTTATAGACTATAGCTCATAATTTCAGCGTCCTTTCTTATTGGTCGGGCCTTCTCCATCGCTTCCTCTCACAGGCGGATCAGCTGTAACGTAGAAGCATTGGAGGCTTGCAATGCGGGTCAGTAGAATCCTTACGCCGGGAGTCTGCAAAAGGAACTCTCCCCATTACTGACGCAAAACAGCTAATGCTTACTACAAACCCCTCAAACTTTCGCCGGGGTGTGCCGTTATTCGATCCTCATTTCCGCAAGTGTGCCAACATGGCAGGGAAAGATTTGGCAAAGCAAGTCCTACTGAGTAGTGTTTTTTTTGGTGGTTGCACCTAGCAATATACTATTCCTTATTAAAAACATACTATACCCAAAAGGAGGATATAATCTTACTCTATATTGGGTACCATAGTATCCCCAAATAAAATACTACTCTACTGGGATCCTACAAGGCAGGTACAGCCGATCAGAGGAGCCATTTCATCCCCTGTTCCCATCTCACCCTGGTCGGAGAACAGAACACTACATCTCCGCAAGGATCATGAAGGGATATGAGGGCTCCTCAAATTAGGGGTACCGTATAGAGGGTCCCCAGAACAAGGGCTGTTGTATTTTGGGGCCTATATCGGCTACCACCTATTTAGGGAAACTGGAAACAATCATATGGATGTGTAACATATCCATTCCTCTGATATTACGGGACGGGACGTCCTCCGCAGCAGGATTCAGCGGCATCGTGCTACGGATGCGAGTGTCATGCTCCTGTGTCAGAGATTGACTATGCCTCAATTACAACGGGGTTTTGGAGTATGTGAAGCGACTTTTGTATAAGGAGTACTCAAGGCAAAATCTTCCGAATCGTTTTGTTCAAGCTTTTACAATTTTCGCAAAGATCTGGCAGTCCAGTGGACAAAGCGCACTTCTGGAACACATCTGTTTGCTGAAAACCCAGGGGACCACATGGCACTGGCTGAACAGGTTTCGCAAAAATATTACCTGAGGCCATGCCTTTACAAAAATGGGCCACCTGCCACCCATGAATGACTGGGCTGACTATGTTCCGAATTGCCACCGAGTACAATGATACAAAAAAAGAAAACGCATTCAGAAATACAACATGCTGGCAGGCTGAGATTATGACGTATCTCTAAGTGCCGAACAACCCAGCCGGCCACGGTTTCATTGTCTTTGCTCCTGCCACTGCGCTTGTCATTGAGTCTCTCTGAGGCAAGTCGGAGAACCACCTAAGGTAGGATACAAGATGCAATGATCCGAAATACTTTGATAAGGCTGTACAGTAGATGGACATCATGGGGACGTGGGGTCTGCTTGTGAACTATGCATCGGAGACGTCGTGAATAGATGCGATCTTCGGGGACGAGCCTCTACGCCGTTTCCCGCATCAGCGATCACCTGTAGATCCAACACCCAGTCCACGAGACAGCGAATCCCAAGCGAGTCGGTGCAGACAGACCAAATGTCGAAGGGCCCTGTGGACGCTTCGGCGTGAGACTTCGAGCACCTGACACATTCGCGGCGACGAAGCTTAGGTAACGCGTTTACAGCATGTACACCTGAGAGTCTTCCAAGCCGGACTAGGTAACCGACTAAAAATTAATTACTTGACGCTCACTGGAAGTGTTAGCATACATCTGATAGACAGCCCTCGTGAGCAGGCAGCTAGCTAGAGACGGCCTTCAGACTCCAGTGACTGACGTCAGCTCAAGCGCAGACGCCACACACAGCAGGCCTTTCTTCAGGATCTTCGGTGTGGACAGTTGCTCTGGCGCAAACCTAGCAAATCGATGATAAGATTGCTTTGGCTACGGCTTGTACCATCAACACACTTACGGCTTATGTCGAGGGCTGAAGCCCCTTATTCGGAAGTACATAAGGGATGTTTGGAAGCTTCCCGCTTGCCCCTTTATAGGTTCAAGTTCTACAGTCCTTACTCTAGAAGCTGCCAGGAATGATGAAAAGAAACACCATTTTGAGCAAAGCAAGCAAAAGTTTGGACAACTTTCGTTGGCCCACGATATTCAAGCAAGGCACGCTTCAGCGATGGAGTACACTCACGCAACAGCTGCGGAAAGACCAAGCCCTCTACAAAACCTGTGTGACCACTAAAGAACCCAATATACTATAGTAGTTTCCATTTTCTTTTCCCCTACGCCAGTATGGGTTATAACACATTATAATAGTTTCCATTTTATTTTCCATTATCCCCATATAACCCCAATATAACCCCAATAAAATCTCTTACTGGAAATTCCGTGCCAGCGGCTTGGCATCGAGCTTGCTGTCCTGACACGCAAGACGGCAAATCTCACAAACCACTCATTGTCTTTTTCCATATGGTTCTCCACTATTGGGCCCCATATCCCCCATGATCTCCCTTTATACCCCTCTATATAACCCAACTGGGTCAAGTCACGAGAATGAACTGACCGGTGCGTGTTCGCTCAGCAGTTTACACCACGTCATTGCTGAACCCTCTGCATAAGGATTGAAACCTTGATGTCCACTTAACATGCTCAGGCAGCGAAGAACTGACTAAGGTCTGAGAACTGGGCGATGGTGTCCAGTAGACTTTTTCTCTGGCTGGGAGCAGACTGCTCACCTGATTGGAAGGGCCTTCAGGGCCTTCAAAGTTTAGAGCTCAGGATTGGGGGAGGTTGGGGAAGGCAGCTGGGGGCTTGCGAGTAGTTAAGACTATGACGGATTCTCACTGAGCCTTTTGCAACCCACACTTTGAACAAAAAGTTCAGGGCCGGATGGCGTTCTGAAGTGTGGCACGCCAGCCTACGGAGGTCAACCACATTCAAAGAAAGACTGCAGGTTTTTATCAGAAGTCCGAACTCCACCTTCCAGAAATCCGGCCTTGAAAGCGACCCTAAACTTCACTTAGCTCCTCACAACACCAGAAAATTCAAAAGAAAAAACATAAAAATGAAGCAGCTGAACCTAAAGGCAAACCCGACAAAGCCCCAATTGGAAGCCTCCAAGACCCTAGGCCGCCTACGGGCTCCTACACCCCCCAACGTCGACATATAACGAAGCACGAATGTTCTGACCAGAAATACCCAGAAGGTACTGTAGGGCATCATCCGGTCATAATGTGGCTTTTCAGCAAGTCTCCTGCAGTATCCGAGCTCAAAAATCTTCCCCTAACATAACCTGCAAAGCATCTTTCAAGCCAGTTGCAAAACAATAAGACCTGCTCATGGCCGGGGCTTTCTTCCTTGAGTACTTCCGTCTACCCTCTATCTAATATGAACTCCATAATGTCCCCATAAACCCTAAACCCTAAATCCCATGACTTCAAAACCCATACCTAGCCTACACGCCCCGTCTCAGTAGGCGGACCTGCTGCGACTTTGCTCTCAGCCTGACCCGGAGTTTTCCAAGCTTAGGGGTAACTCTACACGGGCTTATTATAGAAGACATATGACGGTTTAGGGGTTGGAATTTTGTGTCTAGGATGCAAGAGTTTCTAACAAGTAGGGTTTCCTTTTCGCAGGTTCCAACAAAAACAACATTTTGGGGAGGTAGGCAAGCAAAACCCTGGTTGTGGAAACTCCGTAAACTGCTTTCCCCAACTTATGGCTCCTTGTTATGACCAGGATTCTACGAGGTATTTGGCAAGTGTGGATTCATTTTTGGGGTCAGGACCATGCTATGCGATGGAATCTGACGGCTTCCTAACTGTGGTGCCAAAGCGGGTCGAATAGCATCCCTGGTGTTTGGAAAGTTCTGGATAGCTCGGGCGCGTAACTGTAGTGTTGGAAAGGCTTGGGGTTTGGGGTTGATGGTTTGAGAAATCAATGGCTCTTACACAACTTCATACCTCCTGTACTTGACCTGTTGACGGCGACACTGACCAAGTTGCAATCAAGTTCCAAAGGCGCTTATGAGGATACAATGCCTTTCAAGCCCACTAACCCTACAAAGCTCACAGCCTCAACACTCAATCCCAAACCCAAAACTGGCGACCATATGGTAGTTTCCCAGAATAGGGGGACCCCAATGTAGACCCCAAAATACTATAACCCTTGTTATAGGGACCCCCAAAAGGGGTACCCCTGATTTTTCAAAACCCCCATATCTCAAACATTCCATCCAAGGCTTGTGCAGGTGTTGACTGCACTTTGCCCGCTGCATTGCCGACCTGATTTGGTATTGTTTGGGAGTTTATGGGTTTAGGGTTTAGGGATATGCAATCCAAACCTCTGGGACTGAAAACAAGATAGTGAGGTCTATGACTGCCCCCGACAAGATGTGAAATGAACCCAATCATAAAAATTAATTTGTGAGGCAGGCCAAATACGAGTACCTCTAGCCCTCGTCTAGAGTAACAAAGCAAAGCTATTTAATCAAATGACTCCGCCCAAACAACAATCTGCTGGGATCTGTGGAGATAGAATATGGGGTATACGGGGCTCCTACTTTTATTCGTCAATTATCCCATTCTTGCCTCTGAGTGCAGAGCACTTGGAGGTTGGCTCTTTGGCAGCGGGGTCCTGAACAAATTCTATGTACCGATCAAGAAATACGCCCCTCCCCTGACGTTTAAGACCCCGACCCTAATATTTCAAATGTACTTTAACGTACCAAAATAGGAATATGTGATATTAGGAAGTGGGTGGTCTTCATGCCAGGCAGAAGGGATTTCTCTTCTTGCAGCAGCAAACCTAGATTTGTTTTTCATGCAGACACTCCGAATGCAGATGCTGATCTCGAACCTCCACATTCAATCAGGCCCTGAGCTTATGGATAGAGCACATGCTCCCTGACTCCCAGGCCTCTCAGCTCATACTCTCAGCATGTGGATTCGGAGGGTCCGCGTTAAGTGGAGGCAGTGGACCATGTGTGGCAACGCGAGGAAACATCCATCACTTGGCTGAGAAATTACAAGTAGCCTGGAGTCTTCGTTTTTATGTGGAAACCCTGCAACCCAAGACTAGAACCAGGCAGCACCATAGGCACAGTATTGATGACTGCACCAACGGTAAGAAAACTTAGGACCAAGTCACCTACTCTGCCTATGCACACCATGAAACTATTGCCGCAGGATTTACGCTCCGGTCTAGGCTTCAAGAAGCACCCAACCCATTGATGAAACCAGTGGAGCGCACCCAGCAACGGCATTACCGTCTGCGGGCTGCAGATCCATCATCTTGGCCCATGCCTCGCAGAGACGCTTGCATAGGTCAATCTGTCGTGCTTGAAGGGTTGCATATAGCACAGCAATCACAAATCTGCGTGAGTTGACATCACAAATAAGTTTAACGCTACTGACACAAGGCGTAAATCGCACTTAACTGCTCCATCACACTCGGGCTCTGAAGCTAGTCACACTGACTCGGTATTTTGCAAAAACGGGCAACGATATGATTATAAGGCATTGCCAAGGTTCCATTTTATTTTGAAGTCGTTTAAAGCCTGGGGGGGGGGGCGAGACACGCAAACTACGGAACAATGCAGAATTCGGGGGCGGCCTTCGCTTTCCATTTGGTAGCCACCCATCAGCAAAACAAGGCATGACAGGCCAGGCTTGAAAAGCTGTGATGCATAGCTACAGGACAAAACAAAATGTCCGAACAGCAACAAGTTGACAAGTGTGGAATTGCCACATGCATTGCTGCACAGCACAACACACATGAACACGCACAAACTGTGGGCTGGAGTCACATGACATGCGAACTTGCGAGCCTGCATAGCATGAGGTCTCATCACAATATCATAACAATCAGTTCCACCAACAGCCCAAACAAACCAAAGGTGGTTCACTCAAAATTCCATGGCTTGTACCAGGATCGAGTCAACCAGCAATTTCTCTTACATGAACATCAATCCCAAGCTTTGGTGGCGCAAGCTGTCGTGAGCTGTGTTGTAATGAACCGCCTGCACATTAGGGATTTCGGGTTTAGGGATTTAGGATTTAGGGTTTTAGGGTTTAGGGTGTAGGGTTTATGGTTTTAGGGTTTTAGGGTGTAGTGTTTAGGGTTTAGGATGTCATGTCTTGTCAGACTCACGGACAGACCACGTCCGCACCTTTTCTTCCCATTGACAATGGGCTTCCGTGATAGGTCTGTCGCTGAAGAAGCCACGCTGGGCTTCCAGCCATGTATGCGAAGCTACAGAGACGTACAAATGCAGACGCAGTTCAGACAAGGCAGGGGCCTCTAAAATCAGAATAGGGTTTTGGGTAATTACTATATTATGATTATATAGGGATTATAAGGAAATGAAACTGGTGACTGTTTAGGCTTCTACAGTAGTTCGGCCCACAGCCTTCCATGTCACTTTCAAGGGTCAAGGTTTGGGTTAGCGTCCGCATTTGTATCGACTGGGTGGCATTCGCGCATCCAGTTGCAGAAGCGCACCATCACCAACTCCGAGCTTTTATAAGACAAGCTAGCTTGCGCCCCCACCCTTAAGGCGGATGCGAGGGAGGCGGGCTGAACCAGCATGCGAGGAGTGCCTGCTTTTGCTTTGGCAACTCATCTAACTTTTTCAACTGAGCCTCGAAACAGACCACAGGCCTGCTGAAGCAGCCCCCTGCCCCCATGCTGCAGCGAGCATGGCATCTAGGGAAAATCCATTTCATGGAGGTCTCTGAAAATCATAGCACCTCTGGCTACGGATGGAGGACAGACTCAGATACCACATCCCTGTCCACAGCAACTGCATGCAACTGCGAAAGTCACTGCACTACAAGGCTGCCATCCGCCGCCACGTGCCTATAAGATAAGATGGCACAAATTCCGCGCAGCCCTCATCAGGCCAACACACATGCACCAATGTAATGTCAGAATCTCGGGTGCCGGATACCTGGCTTGGAGACACCAGGGAGCATGTCAATGAGAGACTTCAGGACAAAGATCGTCCACTGTGCATGGAAGAATATTCGACATACAGTTACGGTCCTTCCTCAATAGAAGCTGCTGAATACTTAGCCTTCTTGAGAGAGGGAATGACGGCAATTCGACAAGGAGCAGAACAAACAAAGTAGCTCATCTTGGCTCGTCACCCGATCAAAAAGCAAGGTCTAGGCAGATCCTGCGAGAGTGCATCCTATCTACTGGCATCAGATCTCCTGCATCGCAGGCCTCTTCAGTATGCTAGGCTTTTTTTTCAAGTGCTTAAGGTACATGGCTACACGTTCCGGAAGCCTTGTCTGAGTGAGCAACCACCCCAGCCCCACCGCTGCAGCCTGCTCGGTGACGTCCTGGCAACACTCCATCAATCAGAATTTATTGCTCTAGGCCAAAGTTTCAGTACTCTCCGAAACGACGCTGCAACCAGAGAAATATAGCTGTACGCAACAGCGAAGAAAAACTCCACTATTCAACTTCGCGTTCAAAGTACAGCTGGGACATCATGCTGGCCATCAGGCTTCGGCCCGCTCGCTCTGGCAAGCACGTAGTACTCTGATGCGGCTGCGCAGTGCGGGTTGCATTCAGAGGTGCTATTTCGAGGCAGCCTGCGTCTACAGCTCGAAGGCTACACACTGAACAAGCTAAGCTGGAGCTGGGCCAAAGCAGCAGCTGACAGGCATGACTAGATGCAGCAGTGCGGCAACGCATTGCCCTCTACGTTGCCTGTGTAAAATCGTGC